TTGAAGTGGACCTAGTTGATGGCCAACATTTCTTTTTAATACCATGATTCTGTATATTCTTTTCATCTTCTTTTGTGTCATTTTTTTTTTGCCCCAAGTGTCCTTCAATATTACAATGCGGGGCTGGATTTTCTCTCCAAGTATTTGAATTTGAGAAATGCCAAGGGTTTCCATCCCTTGCACATTTGATTCTACTACCTTTCCTTGCCTTTATCTTCTCACACTGACTTTGAAATCTTATGCTCAGCACTTTATTATTTCTTCCATTCACCTTAGGAGCTTTGGTGGTGTACTGGTTACGCATTGGGAAGTTCACTGTAGCCTGAAACCACCAGCTGCTCCTTGGGAGGAAATCAGGGTTTTCTATGCCTGTAGAGTCTCAGAAACCCCCAGTAGCAGTTCTACCCTGTCCTAAGTTGCTATGAGTCAGCATTGACTCAATGGTGGTGAGTTTGTTTTATGGTTTGTATTCACTTTAGCAACTCTGTTCAATAGCAAGTTTCAGATTTTTTCTGACATCCATTTTAGTCTTTTCTCCCCCCGCCCCAACTTTTTAATGACCTTTTATACTTTCTTCGTGCGTGAAATCCTGATGCCACCATACAACTTGTCTGATCTTCTTTCATTAGTACTCAGTGCATCAAATATTTTGTTGATAGTGTCTCTCAATTCAGGTAGGATATATTCAAGTTCATACTTTGGCATTTTAGACTTCTTTTCATTTTCTTTAGCTTCACATTGAACTGGGTTATGAGTAACTGAAGGTCCGTTCTACAGGATGCACTTGGTCTTGTATTAACTGATGATATTGATCATCTCCTTCTGCTGGTATAGCTGACTTGATTCCACTGTATTCCATCTGTCAAATTCCAAGTGTATACTCACCAGCTATGCTGTTTTCAAAAATGTATTTGCCATGAATAGGTTGTTGTTATTGCTAAAAACGATCCCCAGCATTATTTCTATCATTGAGGCAATATTTTCTAATTACTGATTCTTCCTCATTATTTCCAACTTTTGTGTTCCATTAACCAGTAATTATCAACGGATCTTCTTTGTATGTTTGCTCAATTTCAAACTGCAAAAAAAGTGAGGAAAAAAAGCCCGATTTTTTCATTTTTGGTATTTTGAGCATTACTAGTTGGGGCATACATTTCTATGGTCCTCTTAACTGGTCTTCCTCCGGGGCATTTGGATAGTATTCCTTCACTGACAGTGCTGTACTTGAGGACAAATTTGAATGTGTTCTTTTTGATGATGAATGCGACACTATCGCCGTTCCCAGCATCGTAAATCACATGATTGTTTGAGCCAGAATGGTTAATACCGGTCCATTTTCAGCTTCAGATGTTAATTTTTTGTGTGTTCTATTTCATTTTCAATGACTTTCACATTTCCTGGTTTCGTACTTGATGCAGTCCATGTTCTGATTATTAATGGATGATTGCAACTGTGTCTTCTCATCTTGAGCCATTCCACATCAGCAAATGAAGGGCCCAGCCATTTTTATTCCACCCACACCATTAATGGAAACGCTCCTTGAGGAGAGAGTTCTTTCCTAGTCATGTTTGCAGTGCCTGCAAATATGAAGGGCTCATATTGGGCATTATATAAGGCAATGTTCCTTTGCTATTTATAGAGTTTAGAATTCTATTAAGTCCTAATTTCTTCATTTGTTTGATCCCTGTCCTTTGAGACAATGCAGATGGCTCCTTTGGGGATAAATGCTCACTGTCCTTTTCTTTCACCTAGATTATCTCTGTAGCTGTGGTATTTTGTACCTGGAAAACCCCCAACTTTATACAAGGAAATCAATGATTATAGGATAAATTAATATTTTGAATATCATTGTTGAAAACAAGTGTATGTTATTCATGAATAACATAAGTTATTCATCTATGGATCTGCAATAGTATGTGCAACACTTGTTCTAGACAATCCACAGAAACTCAATTTTTACAATAAATATGAATGAGTAAATAAAATGAATTTTTTTAAAAGCTTGTTCAGTACCAGGCGCTCTGAAAACAAACTAAATGAGAGTAGGAATGTAGTGTACTGGAGTGTACTGGAGTGTTCTGAAGAACTGGAGGAAATTATGCTAAGCGAAGTAAGCCAAGCATAAAAGGGCAAGTACAACATGAGTTTGCTGAGGTAAGCTTAAAAAAAAATTGCAAAGGGGGCTTAGGGAAAAAGCTACTGTATACAAACATTCCTGAGGTGAGGACCAGGTAGTATGGCAGGGGCCAGACCGAATTCAGGGATACATATGGTAGCCAACTGAAAATGAGGGGGGTTGGAGGGAAGGGAAAAAAAGAAGAAGAAATGGGTAGAGGGGGGCACAGGACACTAACGCACCCAAGCTGATGGTGCCCAGCTATCAAAAGACATAGCGTCTTGGGTCTTACAAGCTTGAAGGTAAACAAGCAGCCATCTAGCTCT